GAAATTTTTTTTTTTAAAAATTCAGTTTCAAATCTTTACTTTCAGCTTCTAAAAAACTTATTTTAGTTAATTCAGATTCTAAACATTTTCGTCAGTTTTGATTTTTTTTTCCGTTTTTGAATGTTTCTTCCAGTTTTAAACCTTTTTTTTTTCACTTAATTTTTCTTGTTTCAAAACTTTCTTTTTTCTATTTCAAACATTCTTTCCCAGTTTCAGAATAATTTTTCAGTTTCAAGTATTTTTTTTTTCAGCTTAAATTTGTGTTTCTTTTGCACAAACTTCATGGCCCCAATTTAGCTCCATTGATTCTCATTTAAAATGCTGTAAATGTTTTTTTATTTTCTGACCTCTGACTGAAATCACCCAGCGGGGTTTTGATCATTTTAAAAGTTCGGCTTATGAAGCTGATAAGGTCTATAAAACATAACTGGGGTTAAAGGTCGGTGGAAAACGGTGCCTGTTTTAGTTCGAGGGGATATAAAGTTTAGCTGCTTGTTTCTGTTAGTTTGAATATTGCATCACACTGACTGTTGCTTCTTCTTTAACTCAACACTTTGGCTGCCAAGACATTTGCAACAGGAGACGCTGCTTCAGGCGGCTGCAAACCAAGAACTGGATGAGTAAAAAATAAATTCTAGGTCAGATACACTTCTGCCTCCAGATGCAATTTGCTTTTATCAATATAATACTTCTCTATTTTTATTTTCTGTAAAGCAAAAAGCACAGAAACATTATGTTAACTCCTGCAGTTAAATTTCCACCACCACAACAGAATCACCGGCAAAGAGAGAAACAATTCCCACCTTTTTCAGGCAGTTTTCTGGGATCCTGCAGGACAGGAAGAAACGCCTCCAGAGGAAACAAAAGAAAGAGCTAAAATCTGAAATCTAAGCTCCGCAGGTCAGTGAGGATCAGCAGGAAGATGCAGAATCTTGAGGAAAGCTGGTTATTTTCTGCCTGGGTGTTTTATTTTCCCCTGGAGCAGTGAGGTGTGTCTCCTCCCCTCCCACAACACCGACTCAGACATGATCAGGAGGCCGGACGCTTTTCACGCAGCTCTTTCTCGTCTTCTTGAACCTCAGAGTTTCGCTCACAGCAGTGCTGCTCAGTCCTGGAGGAGCTAAAAGAGCCAAAAACACAAAACTCTCAGATCATCCCTCTGAACCCAAACAATGGCATGGAAACGTGTCATTAGTTCATATGATTTTAAAGATTACTGCAACAATAAACATGGCTGCCGTTTGTGAAGTCAAAAATAAAGAAATGATTGAGAAAAAAAATAGGGCCAAATTCACCGTCCCAGTTTCAAACTAAATATTTAGCCTCAAACTAAACAGCAGAGCAAAATATTTAGTTTAAGGCTAAGTGCTTAGCTTCTTAACTAAATATTTACCCTGTTAACTAAATATTTAACTTCAAACTAAATATTTGATTTGAGGCTAATATTAGCTTTCTACTTAAATATTTACCTTCAAAGTAAATATTTAACTTGTTAACTATTTAAATTCAAACCAGCTATTTAGTTTGAAGCTAACTTACTAACTAAATATTTAGTTTGTAGTTAAATGTTTAGTTTGGGGCTAAATATTTAGTTTGTAGCTAAATGTTTAGTTTGGGGCTAAATATTTAGTTTGTAGCTAAATGTTTAGTTTGGGGCTAAATATTTAGTTTGTAGCTAAATGTTTAGTTTGGGGCTAAATATTTAGTTTGTAGCTAAATGTTTAGTTTGGGCTAAATATTTAGTTTGTAGCTAAATGTTTAGTTTGGGGCTAAATATTTAGTTTGTAGCTAAATGTTTAGTTTGGGACTAAATATTTAGTTTGTAGCTAAATGTTTAGTTTGGGACTAAATATTTAGTTTGTAGCTAAATGTTTAGTTTGGGCTAAATATTTAGTTTGTAGCTAAATGTTTAGTTTGGGACTAAATATTTAGTTTGTAGCTAAATGTTTAGTTTGGGACTAAATATTTAGTTTGTAGCTAAATGTTTAGTTTGGGGCTAAATATTTAGTTTGTAGATAAATGTTTAGTTTGGGACTAAATATTTAGCTTATTTGCAGGATGAATGGATGGCTAGATGGAATTTGAAGCTACATATGTAGTTTGCTAACTAAACAGTTGGTTTACAAACTAAATATTTAGCTTGTTAATTAAATAATACTTTAGTGACATTTATGTACAAATAAAAAACATGGTAAAAATATAACTGTCCGAAAAGACAGCATTTTGCCCAAGTGAACCAAATTATTGCTTAGTTTTTGAGTGTTTAACTTCACAAACTGACTGCATTAATGTTAAAACCATCACTTTGTGATAGTTTTACACACAAAGTGTAAACAACAACAACAAACGAACATTTCCTGGTTTTCTGTTGCGTTATATTTCAAACAAAGATAAATTATTGTGTGAACAACAAAAACTCAGGACCATTTAAACAATGAGAGTTTAATTGGAGCTCAGTTTGCTACAGAATAACTGCAGTGTAGTATTCAGGTCAACATGAAGCTGCTCTGTCCTGCTAATGTGTTTAGTCTGCTCAAAGGTCACGCTGCATAAAGGTCACAGGAACTTTACAGGAAATCCAAACAAGGCCAGTAGGAGGCGACATTCTGCCCAAATGATCCTTCCTGAAATGTTTGAGGGTTGAAACCGGAAAAGGTTTTCATGTTAAACTCCAGCTGATGAATGGAGGCAAACAAATCTGGGAGATTAGAAATTACAACCTGTGTATGGACACAAACATTATTAACGGTCGGTGATACTTTCCATTAAGGTTCAAATCAGCAAAACAAAACAAAATGTGGCAAAATAGTAATTTTTTAATGTGGAGTTGTTTCAGGAAATTATAAACAGAAAATATTTTACCTGTCTGAGGAAGCAGAGAATGAATGAATCAACCGCATTACCTTGAAATGACCTGGGGACTTTCAGAACCGGATGAATGGACGGATGGACCCATAGATTGATGGATCTTGTTTGTATCTTTAACAGTTGGAATCATCATTGTTTCCTCGGATTTCTCTGTTTGCAGATGATGTTGTGATTAATGGTGAAGTCTGGCAGCAAACGGCAGAGAGTTTGGATGGAAACGGAAACGATTTAGAGTAAAAAACAACAAAAGTCAGTGAATCCATGTTTAAAGCCCATGAAACTTTGTGGTGAAAAGCTGAAGCAGGTTCAGAGTTCAGAGGTCATTTCCCCTGAGAGTCGGTGAGCAGTGATGACGAACGGGTTCAGGACACCGGATACTGGATAGCGGTGCCGACATAAAAAAGTTCTGGCCGGGCTCACGGGCCGCTCACTCCCAGAACACATGAGACACGCAGGACACATGCAGGCGGCCAAACCTGGAAACTTTACAGACACTAAATAAAAGCCACCAGCAACCAAACAACTGCTTTTAACTTCCTGCATAAAACTACAGGCTGCGTGACGAGAAGCTGAGAGATTATTTACATTTAATTCTTCTCAGAATTCTGACTTAAATTTCACAATTTTGTTTTTGTCATAATGCACAAAATTTCTCTGTCTAAAATTCTAATTTAATCTCATAATTCTGACATTTTGTAGCATAATTCTGACCTCAATCTCATGAGATCAAAAATCACAATTCTGAGATTAAGGTCAGATTTCCTTGTTTTTTTTTAATGGCCCTAATCTTCTTCCATACAGAAGTGTCTCTGCTGTTGGTCTATGTGAGTTATTAATACCGGCTCCGTGTTTAAATGCTCATACTGGGAGAACTGGGCGTCGTGACTCAGCAGAGTCCAGTTTTACGTCGCAGCCTCTGCTGGCGCTGAGCCCAGACATCTGGAAAGATGCTGATGCAGCACAAAGGCCTGTGCAGGCAGGTTGATTTCAGAGCAATGCTTTCTGGACTGTTCTGGAGCGAAACCTGGCTGAACGGGAAAACATGGCAGAAGATTCCAGTCCTGGGAAAACAAAATTTGGCTCTCAAAAATCTTCTCACCCTGAGAAGTTTGTCTGGTTTCTTTTCATCTTATCAACATTTTTCTGTATAACTTACATCTGCTGCAAAATTCACATTTTTTTAAGTGAAAACATAGAAAAGTAAAAGTTAAAAGCACAGGAGAGCAATCTGCTGATGACCTAATTCAGGTGAGTTAAAGCAAATCAGAGGATCGAACTGTGAGATTAGAACGCCCCCTTCTGGCCAACTGTAAACATTACACCAAATGATTTCAATTAAATTTTCAATGCTTATTCATACATTTCTTTTACACACAAATGTCATATAAAGGTACTATAAAATGTACTCTAATTAAAAATGAAAAGTTCTACATTGAAACAATTATTATGTAAAAACTGATCAAAATCACAATTTGAACTAATCAAAAACTGAAGCTATCTAAACCAGATCTGGGTTGTCACAGAAAATGTTCATTTCAAAATGAAAATAACATTTTAATTTTGTCACAGAAATGAACTTTTTCTGTGACAAAATGTTATTTTATGCACATTTCTTGTTTACTTGCCTGATCACTGCAGCAGTGAAACAACTAAAACTAGAAACTGTTTGCCAAATTAAAAAGGAGCAAATTTTGACTAACTGTCAAAAGATTCAACAAGATATTTAAGAAAATAATCTCTAAACTCAGAATTCAATGAGGAAAAGAGATGTTTTTTTTTTTTTGCTTTAACAACTTTTCAGACCTTCTAGCAACTTTTTTCCAAAAAGCCACAAACATTTCTACTGTGTAAATAAACATTAAGCTGCAACTAAAAGGCAAATTAAACTGCAGTAGCCTCCATTCAACCCAAAGAGGGCAGCACTGAGACGGTTTTAGATTATTATTATTTTATTACATAAAAATGTCAACATTTGCACAGAAACATAGATATGGAGCCATAAATGACAAATTCAGACATTTTGTCTTATAAACAGTTGATTTAGGTTTTAGTTGAGGTTCGTTGGAGAACGATCCAGATTTCACCACCGAGTTTCACTCTGAGTGGCACAAAATCAAGTTTTGGACAATTAAAAACTGGCTGCAACTCAGATTGTCTTGATATTCAAATTGATTTCACAATCTGAAAGTTGTGATGTTCACTAAAACCTGCCAGTGAGACTTGAACATGAGCTCCAGAATATTTACAGTTTCCTCTGAAGGAACAAAGACACAAAGAGAAATTCATCTCTATTGCACGATTTGAAACATCTCCACTCGTAGTGTAAACGTTTACTCATAAGTTGCACCTGCAGTTGCCTCGTTTGGATCAGGTTCTCCAAACTGTTGACATTTGGGCCGTAAAAGTCAAGTTGAAACTTCCAGGGGCCACAACATCTTGAGTATTTTAATCAGTTTTGTTTTTGCTAGATTTACTAAATGATCTGAATTTTAGTAAAAGCCACTGGATGTTTTTGTACCTGTTGAATTCTGTGTGTTGGACTTCACATTTTCCATTTTAAGATTTTAATTGTATCACTTTTTAAACAACATGGCATCAGTAAAAACTTCAATCTTCAAGGGTTTCCAAAAATTGTTCTGAGGGCCACAAATGGCCCCCGAGCCGCACGTTGGACACCCCGGTTCTGATTCTGTTCTTGTTGTGACGATGTGAAGAGTCTTTAAAGTGGCCTGTCCAGTAATCTCTGTCACAGCAGCGGCCATGTTTGTGTGCAGATCACTGCTCCCTGCTGCCCTCTGGTGGCGACTCCAGCTCATAGTAGCTTCTCTCCAGCATGTCCTTGAGGTCTTTGAAGGTCGGCCTGTCTCCGGCTGGTCCTGCCAGCAGTTCAGCATGATGCTGTGGACGAAGCCGGGCATTTGCTCGGTGCCTCCATGCGGTAGCCGCTCTTGACTTGTTGTAAACTTCGCGGTTGTTGAAGCCTGGAGGAAGAGCGAGAAAGAGAAGGAAGGAGAAAACAGAAGTGGTGAAGATATCTGACGTTTTTGCTCTAATTGCAGCAGAGCCTGAAAATAAACCTCTTACAGCAGCAGTGTGGTTTATTTGCGCAGCAACAAGGTGCTTCACATCATTACAGAAACACCAAACAGTCACGAATTTGACATTTCTTCAAATACTCTAGATTTAGTTTGTCAAAATTTTATTTATTCTTTAAATTCTTTCTGTTGAGTCAAAATATTTGACTCAGAGTCTTTTTTGTCCAATGAATTAAGAAAATGTATTTTCCAAATGTGCAATTATATGGTTAATGGAAACGCAACTCATGTCAGGCCTGCAGAACTGGGCAGAGTCTCTGGTTTTAGTCAGAACTCCTGCAGCAGCAGCGATCTGAATCTTCTGACTGACTTCAGTCACACCTTTAAGTGGCTGATGAGCCTGGATGAGTTTCTCTGATCCTGGAAATGTTCTGCAGGTGACAGAAGGCCGACTTTGGAACTGTCTTTGTGGCTCTGAATGTTCGGGTCAGAGTTCACCCTGATCTCTAGTTTCTAACCGAAGCTGCATGAAACCTGCCATGTTTTATATTTCATGTGACAAGCACGTATTTTGAGTTAATGTTAGTTGTGAAACTGCAGAACGGATGCTTGTATTTCTTCACTCAAACATGCGATAACTTCTAACCACAGCAGCCGCTGAAATCAACTCCACAGGTTCCCAGAGGTCAAAGTTTCTCCACTAACCCTCTTCTGCGAAACATCAAAACTCATTTTAAAGCTTCAGAGGACTGCGTCACAAACTGCCAGAGGAAAAAATTTACCAGAATAAAAAGCAGTAAATTAGTGCAGAGGTCTGAGTTTCAGAAAACTTTTCAGGGTTTGGTGTGAGCTGTGAGTGACGAATGAGAAGATAAACAGCAGAACATATTCAAACAGAATTACAGCCACATAGAGAACAATGACTAAATTATTGTGAAAAATGGAAAGATTTACATTTGAAACCATTTGCATAATAATCAAAGTTAATCCTTTAAAGATCAGTGAAACTTCAACTTCTGAAGATTTAAACTGAGACTGAAAAACATTTTAAATACCCAAAATAAATAAACAAAACAGCTAAAAATAACAGATATTTTCTGTAAAACATAATTTAATCATGACAGGAGACACAGCTAACTCCTTCCTTTTAGCAAAGATTTTTATTAGTCAATTAAGCTAAGAGTCTAAAACGGCTCATAAGTTTTTTTTATTTGTAGCTGGAAAAACTTTGTCAGATGATTTAGGTTTTAAATTTGTTCTAAGTAACTTTTAAATAAATGTTTTATGTCGTTCAAACTGTCACTTTGTCCTGACAGCAGGACACGAGATGGATGATCTGTGGAAAAAAACCACGCTGTGGTTCTACTGCCATCTGCAGAAATACTCCGCTCCTGGTTAGAAACAACCAATCAGCGCTGTCAACCATGCTCATGTAAGCGCAACTTCCTTGCGCTTACAAAGACGGAGTGGCATATTTATGTACCGTAGATATGAAAAGCATGTTGCTGAACTGACCTGGGTATGGGACACTTCCATAGGTCATGATCTCATAGAGCAAAACCCCAAAAGACCAAACGTCTGACTTGATGGAGAACTTCCCGTGGCTGATGGCTTCAGGCGCCGACCATTTGTAGGGAATCTTCTTCTCTTCCGAGATGTAAAACGGCTCCTGGACCAAAAACATTTGGTTGGTTCAATTCAAACCAACCAACAAAACAGAACTTCCTGTCGACCAACGCACCTTGACGAGTCGTGCCAGCCCAAAGTCGGCCACCTTGCAGATGTAGTCTTCTCCTACTAGAACATTTCGAGCTGCCAGGTCTCTGTGGATGCTCTTCTGCTCTTCCAGGTACGACATCCCATCAGCCACCTGGGTGGCCATGTCAATCAGAGACGCAGCGTCTTGATTTTGTCCTTCTTTCCCTGAAACCAAAGGTTGGTAATCTGGGTTTGATACTCTTCCAGAGATCCCAGGAACCTTCAACTCTTTAAAATAAAGTTCCTGGATCCCAGACAGGCTCACCTCTAAGGAACTGCAGCAGGCTGCCTTTCTCCATCAGCTCGGTGATGATGTAATACGGCGACGATTCGGTGCAAATGGCGAACAGGGAGATCAGGTGGCGATGCTGCAGCCTCTTCAGGATTTCAACTTCCCTGTGAAACTCTGTGTTGTCTACAGAGTCTGGTGGAAAACAGATATAAACAGCCAGAGAGCAAAACTATCCTCTGGATTTAGTTTTGTTCTTCCTGGAAGTTAAAACAATCTGTTGCCATGTCAAAAACTTGCAAAATGCCTCCTTTGTTTGTTTATTAATACATAAATAAAAAACTTTTAGCATCATTTAACACAAACCAGTAACTTTCTCTCTGAGTTTCTGTCATTTCTGGTTTTGCTTCATATTAAAAGTAGCTGACTTTTTTTTTTTTTCTGTTTCTTTCGCTTCAAAATGAAACCATAAAAATGAAAAATCTGATGTTTTTTTGTTTTAAAACTAAATTAGAAAATAGAAATGCCAAAACTACACAGTTTGTATTTTTTCATAAATTAAAATTTATAGTTCTATTTATAAAGTGAAATAATCTCTTCCATCACTTCTGGTATCGCTTCTATTAAAAAACATTTTATTTTAGGTTTAATAGTTAAATCAAAGCTCAAACTGCAATTTCTTATTATTTTTATGTTTTTTTCATTCAAGTATTAAAAGCAGAAAACACAAAAAAATATTTTAGTTATTTTGCAAAACTATTTTCATTTTGAAATGTTTTTTGAAAAACCAAATAAACAGATTATTTTTAGCCATTTTGTTTCTATTTTCTAAAACCCCTGTTTTTTTGAGTTTCAACAGCAAAAACAATAAACTTGGATCTTTTTCTATAATTTTTGCAATAATTTTGCATTTATAATTCATGTTTATCATCAACATTAATCAGAAAAGGGATTCCACAAGGATCAATACTTGGTCCTCTTCCCTTTACGTTATATATCTGTCTAATAATCTCTCTGGATGTGGGATTATTTGGATTTGAGTGGAAGGTGATTATCTCACACCAGCACTTAGATGATCCGTCATTGTGATTCAAAACACTAAATATTGATATTAAAGTCGGTGAAACTGGCAATTTGCCTTTCTGGGCTCGTCCCTCAGAAAAATGGCTGTGAAATCAAACAAGTATCAAAAATAATCTGGGTTCTGATGTTATTGATTTGGGAGGAGAATTGATCAGAGTTGGTCAATTTCTGGGTGAAAAAGTCACATTTGGGCAAAAGTAGTGATTTTGGTGCCTGTTGTGTGAACGCAGCCTAACGATGTTCAGAGGCCCTTTGAATCCCTTCACCACCTTTTCCTGAAAGCAGCCTTCAGTCTCCAGGTTTGGGTGACGACGTACCATTTTTCAGGACCTTTATGGCGACGTTGATGTGGTTCTTCCAGCGACCGCGGAACACCTGCGAGAAGCAGCCGTTGCCGAGTTGGTTCTCGATGGTGAACTCGCTTTTCGGGAGAACCCAATCATCCAGCAGGTGGTTGATATCCTCAATGTTTGGCTTTTTCTGGCACCGGAAACAGATGTTTTTAGGAGACATTTATGTCTGCGGGGGAATGCTTTCGTTTCTCCTTTTTACCTTGTTGCACGGACTCCCCAGAGAGTCGATGTCGTTGAGGCTGTGTTGGCAGTAATAGGTCACCAGGTCAGCCAGAGAGCTGAACCTGTGAGTCTGCTCCACATAAAAACTCCCATCGTTATGTGGGATGCGAAAGTGGCGGACTGCATTGTTGGATTTCACTGCAGAAGAATTTACACACGATGAGACTGAAGCAGAAGTGGAAAGAGTCGAAAAGTCTGAAAAACAGGATGTGAAACTACAAGTCTGGTCTAAAAAAGGTCAGTTGAGGCCGCAGTGCAGTGGTGAGCGGCGCTAACTTAAGAGCTAGCTGCGCTAATCATAAAGCACTAATTGTAAACATTAGTTCCACTAATGCTAAAGCACTACACCAACATGATATTTACCAGAAGCTAATGCTAATATCAACCTTTGAGCACCAATTTCATTTTGACATAATAACTTCCTTAAATATGTAATTTTATGTTTATGTTGCTCTTTACTGTCTGTATGTTAGTTTGAAATAAAGTTATTAGGGAGAAAAGAGAGAGGACAAGAAGAGAGGAAACAATCTGTACCCACTTCAAAATAAGAGCATATAAGCATCTAATTGCTTGATAGTTGATATCCAAAACTTCAACACAGATGTTGAACTTTACTCAACTGAAAGTTCACAAAACTTTAGAATTTATTCAGAAAAAGTAATTCAGGGGAAGCTAAATGTGCTAAATGCTAATGTTAGCAAAAGTACTAAAGCATTAATCAAAAACATTTCTATCATCAGAATTGTGAAAGGTTGATAATCAAAACTAATAATTGATTCAACTGAAAGCTTAGAAAGCATCCAAGTAAATCAGCACTTTTTAATTTATCTGGAAAGAGCATCAACCAGATAGCAGCTAAGCTAATGTTCAGATTGCTAACCCAACATAAAACAGGAAGTCAGCTGTAAAACTAAAAGCCCGGCTTTTCTTTTCTTGCCTGAAAGAACGTATCCGATGCTGTCCCTCTCGCTTTTCCGAACCAGGAAAGAGGCGTCCTGGTTCGCTGGCTCCATCAGGATGTTTTGGGCTTCGAAGCGACTCATCGTCCCGAAGAACCATCTGGATGGAGACGAAACCGGGTTCAGAGTTCTTCACTACATTAAAATGTATTAGTTGGCACGAAAATGGTGTCAAAGCAACAATTTTATTATCGCAATAATTACTGCCAATGTTTATCTGCAGCTAAACATTAGTTAGCATCAGTTTATTGATGCTAACTTTCTGATTCTAACTTAATGATGCTAACTTTCTGATGCTAACTAAACAGTGTGGGGCTGATTTAACACTGGACTTGGAGATCATGTTAAATATCCAAAATAAAGGAACAAAAACAGAAAAAACAAATAAAATTAATTATGAAGTCTCTGTAAACAGCTGGCTGAGACCAAAACACCAGACTGAAAACTTTTATCCTGCAGCTGTTGGTTAAAAAAATCATGCAATTTATTTTAATTTATTATGAGATTAATTGATTTATGTCTTATTGTGACTGGGTTACTGACAATCGCCTTGTCAAGATTAGTCTGATTAATCGTTTCAGCTGCAGAATAAAACATTATCAGAAACATCTGTCCACTAACTAAAACTTTTAGTTTTTCTGTAGAAGCTGATATTTTCTAAATGCAATTTTTTTTATCGTTAATTAAAATGTTAAACTGTAAAATTTCTGCCGGCTTGAAGATTCTTTCAATCATCTGAAACACGTTTTTAGCACAAACTAAACATTAACAACCAGTTTCACAAAGTTTCTGAACCTTTTCCAGGAACGCTGATTACAATCGGGTCAATTCTGGAGCCGTAAACGGAGACGAGCGATACCGACGTGAAACAAACCGGTGTCCGTCACTCATCAGACTGGAATCACACTGGTATGAAAGGCATGACAGGCATTTTTTACAGTGTTCAACAGGAGGTTCAGTTAAAGTTTCTGCTCTAATGTCTGAAACATTTAGGTCACATTTTAATCAGCTCTGAAACACTGCAAGGTTCTGAAAAGGCCAAATTAGCAAGCAATTATGATTTAAAGTTAATTAAGCACCAAAAATAATGTTGAACATGAAAACACTTCTGATTGTCAGGTTGGAGAGCTGTAGCCACGGGAAAGTTGAGTGGAAGGAAAAAGTGAGTAAAAAAAGAGAGTGTCCAAAACTATCAGTTTGAAAGTAGTTTTTGGACATTTTAGGTTAGATTTGATCAATCAGAATCCAAACATTCTGGATTTCAGTTGCCTTCGTTGTCTGAATCACACAGCTAAACTACTTCCTTATTACAGGAATCTCTCATTTTATGATAGGGAACTAGGAGCCAGATCAGTTTCAGGACTTTGCCTTTGGCCACAGGGTGCTGGTTATTAATTAACTGCCTTGCAGTCCCATCATGCTTTGCTCTGGGAGAGAAGGTGACAGCGACGTGACACTAGAAAGGACTTAAAACTTTTCCTCAGATTCATTCAGGCCTGGATGTTTTCTCTTCGCAAAGAGGCAGGATGTGGAAAAACAGAGGAGAAAATGTCCGCAAAATAATCTGAAATTTTTATATTAATCTTAGAAATTTTCTAGAAAAACAAGAAAACGTCAAAAGTCAAACAAATTCTTTTGAAACTCAGAAAATTTCAAACTGTTATTTGAAATTTCCTCAAGTTTTTTCAAGCAAATTTTTTACTTTTGAAAGTCAGAAATGTTCTTGTTTTTTCTAGAAAGAAATTTTCAGACTTTGAAAAGTCAAAAGTTTACTATAAAATTCTGAAGTTTTGAGATTAACATAAAAAATTAGAAAAAAAACAAGAACATTTCTGAGTTTAAAAGCCAAACTAATCTTTTCTTTTCTTTTCTGAAAAAAGAAGTTTTTGACTTTTGAAATTCAGACATTTTCTTGGATTTTCTTTCCAGAATATTCCTGAAATTAATCTCAAAATCTCAGTTTTTTTCTTGCAAACTTTCAACTTTTCAAACTCAGAAAGTTGAAAAGTGAGGTTTTCGACTTTCTGAGGAAACATCAGAGGAACGACTAGAATAAATATTTCTGAAGCTGTAAAGTTGTTTCCCTCTGAATGAACGAATGAATGAATGAATGAATGAATGAATGTTAACGTTATGAAACCTGAAGTGAAGCCGCTTTAGATTAATAGGAAAGGATCCACATATCGATGCTCAGATTAAATTACTGCTAGTCTGCAGGTTTCAGCTCAGTTCCAGATTTTTAATCTGATGATGAATTATGATCAGATTAATTAGGCTTGTTTTGAACAGACAATAAAGAAAATCCATTGTTATTATCCTGAATGCTAAAGGGAGAGTTGGGTGGAGACGAGTTACTTTTTTTGGAAACGTATTTTTACTGTGCTGACCTTTGACCTTTTTGTTGTTTTGTTTGTATTTCCTTCTGATTCTGCCTTGTTGCTGAAAATGAGCGACTTAAATAAAATGACCTTAACTTATACTTGTCATACTTTCACTAGAGTCATTTTATTTTGAAGTATTTCTGCTCTTTATATTTTGGTCCCTGATTATTTAATTTTTAAGACACATTCTGGCTGTTTTTGTTCAGATTAATTAATTTTTAACTGAAAGAAATTGATTTGGAAAATGTTTCTTTTGCAATTATGTCATTTATGTGAATTATTTTCATTTTGTTGTCTAAAATACCAAAATGTCCACATAACATTTGATTTATTCTGTAATTGTTAGATATCAAAATCCTGACGTTCTGGTCAGTTTGCAGTGAATTAGGCGCCGTTTGGGCGCCGTTTCAGAGGGGGCGCCAGAAAAAAGTAGGATGTTTTTCCTAAAAGGTATTTTATGTATTTATCAGCAGATGAAACCATCAGAAAGTCGCTGAATTGACCTGAGTGAAGTTTTTACCGGGACCATTTGTTGGACAGCTGCAGTTTGTTCCGGTCCAACTCAGGTGGAAACGCTCTGGCCGGGATGTGGAAAGTACTCACGGCTCCATCTGCAGGGACTCCGCTCTGGCCAGGTAGTTGTGCGGAACGATGCCGGTTCCCAGGATGCGCCCGTTCCTCTCGATCTTCCTGGCCGTCCACCAGTCCCCGCTGCGGCTCAGGACCTCCAGCAGGTCCCCCACCTGGAAGGACAGCTCGTCCCGGTGCCGGGCCTCGAACGGCCAGATCCCGGTGTAGATGGCGCTTTCCGACGGCCGGTCCGGCCGGTCCGGCGGCGGCGGCGGGCTGACCTCGGGTCTCCTCCCGTCAGCATCCGCCCTGTCCTTCCCGTCTCCCTGGTTCGGTTTCACCGGGAGGAGCCGCCGCAGACACGCCGGCAGACAGTCACACATCGCTGCAGAGGAACCGGCCCGGAGCCGCTCGGCGCCCCGCCGTGACGCTGCGCACCTGGCGGACAGGTAAACAGAAACTCCTCGGAATGCGTCGCTGTGCCGGTTTGGTCGGTCCTGAGTGATTCTGAGAACTTCCTTTAAGGGCAGCAGAGTGAAACCCCGCCTATGAAGACAGGCGGAGTCAGAAATAAATAAATAGATCCCGCTGTGAGAAGCTGCAGCTTTTATTTCAGATTCATTACCATTAATAAGGCAGTTATTATTGATATTAGTGATAGGCAATAATAACTTAATGAAGTGATTTTCTTTTGAATGTTTGGAAAGATACACTGTTAAAAATGAACAGTAATAGTTTGGTTTATCAATTCATCAGAGGAGAAAATGGGGTTTATTTTTTATTTCCACCAAATTATTTATTCAGATGTAAATAAAAGTTTCTTATCAAGCTACATATTTAGTTTACATTAAAATATTTTGCTTCTAAATAAATATTTAGTTGGCAGGTTAAATGTTTATCACCATGGAAACAAAACCCAGTTGTCTCATCTTCATCTGGTCATGTCCGGGCTTTGAATAGGCCATCTGGGCTTTGGCTAGGTCATCAAACAATGAACATGGATCTGGATCAGGGTTTCCAAAATGTGGCCCGTGGGCCTAATTAAAGTAATGCTGAGTCATACAGTTACTTTTTTTAACAACTAAAGGTGAAATTTTCCCCAATAAACACCATAAAAGATCAAATTTTAGGTACAAAATGAAATAGTTTTAAAAACACTGTTTTATGATTTGGGGAAAATGAAAAACAGAAGCAATCCATCTGACGAGATTCTTCCTCCTGCTGCACATGAACCATAATCTGCTCAACAAAACATTTTGTTTGCCTTTATTTCCCTGCTGTTTGCATGTCGTCCTCCTCCGGGACAGTTTGTTTACAAACTATTTTTAGATTATTATCTTGTTTTACAAACCGACTGACTTCTGATGCTGAAGTTTCAATCTGTGGATGAACTGACTGTCGAAAATTAACAGAAATTATTCGGTTTATTTCTTTCAACATGTTTTTCATTCTCCTATAAAAGTCGCAGCCTCTGGAGGGGAAGTCACAGTTTCAAAAAAATATTTAAATAGCAAGCCAAATACGCTGCTCAAAAAATAAAGGGAACACTCAAATAACACATCCTAGATCTGAATTAATGAAATAAATATGAAAATATTTTCCACCTGTTGTCTATTCCATTTGCACAACAGCAGGTGATATTGATTGTCAATCAGTTTCTAAGTGGACAGTTTGATTTCACAGAAGTTTGATTTACTTGGAGTTATATTGTGTTATTTGAGTGTTCCCTTTATTTTTTTGAGCAGGATATTTAGCAAACCAATTAAATATTTAGCTTCAAGCTGCATATTTTGTTAGCAAGCTATTGAGGTTATTGTACAAACTAATTATGTGAAATAAAAAAATTTTGGTTGCTGATTGAATATTTAAGTTGGAACAAAATATTGTCTTTGGAAGCTAAATATTCACAAACTCAATATTTACATCATGTAGCTTGTAAGTATTTAGCTTTCTAGCTCATATTTTTGCATATTTGTCCATCAAACTAAATATGCAAATTTAAAATATAAATATTTAGCTTGCTGACTACATTTAGTTTGGTGAAAAATAAATATTTAGCAAGCTAAATATTTAGCTAAATGTTAAGCTTTTTAGCTCATATTACAAGTGAAATATTTAGCTCCAAATTAAAAATGCAAACTAGACATTTTAATATTTAGTTTGCAAACAAAATATTTAGGTTGGAACAAAAATATTTAGTTTTCAAACTAAATGTTTGGTTTACAAGCTAAGCATTTAGTTTGCAGTCTTAACTTTAGGTCATTTTAAAAATGTATTTATGTGAAATTTTCCTCTATGAATGAGTGAACATATAACAAAAATAGTAAAAATACAGCTGCATTGTTTTTTTTAACAATACTTAAAATATTTTATTTTTTTGCATCACTTGTGTTTGGTACCAGAACACAAAAAGCCATAAAAACAAACATTCTCATAATTTGGTGATTATGGCTCAAGTTTCCTGAACTTGGCTCCGTCTGTTGCAAACGTCATGCATAAAACACACAAAATTGGTTCATTCACAAATTGCATTGCAAGTTGCAAGATTTGTTTGCAGTTTTATGTGCTTCAAATGAAGAAAAACCCCACAGAAAGAAAGTGCTGCGAGTCAGATGTCCGTCCTGAAGCTCGTGTGTCGCCGGTTAGCTTGTGTGTAAACGTAGGCACTGGTTGTTACTGGACATCAGTTTGGCCCGTCAGAAGAGCTTAAGGCCTGGACTGTTGGCACCGTGCTGCTGCAGTGGCTTTTTAAGTGCTTCAAGTTCATCTTGTGCTGATTAAAAAAAAAGCATTTTAGAAATGCTCCTGTTTGGATGCTTTAGATCTGTAAAATGTAGCTGAGCCTCCAGAAATGCCTGCAACAGGTAAACAGTTTAAAAGCCAGGAAGCGCAGAGAAAGTGCACAAACAAAAATACAAAAATAGATCTTCTTACAGTCTGTCCTGAGAGCAGCACTGGAGCACAAGTCATCTTTCTGAACATTAAATATGTTAGCCCATGTCAGATAATCAGTCTAAATGCAGCAGGCTACAGTAACTGTGCTAAGGATTACACAAACCACAGAGCAAGCTGGCATGCTCACTATCTTCAACACAATGACTCAGTAAACATTCTGTGCATGTTAAATAAAAACCCTGGTCCCACCTGGAAGATTCAGCCGCTGAATCTCATCCCATTACTGCAAAATAACTGCAGATATTAGACTTTAGCAAACAGAGTCCCAAGCCAACAAGCAGAAATTCAAGCTGAAACTCAAACTGTAGCTGCGTTTCCATTCACCACATAAATGCACAATTTGATATTTCTAAAATGAATTTGCTCAGCAGAGACGGGGAGTTATAAACGTGTTGTTGCGACGATGAGGTGATTTTTTTCAGCTGTGTTTAAATTTGTTCCACAATGTCACATGATCAACAACCAGATGTTACCACTGGCAGAAACCGTGGAGAAGACAAACAGGAAGTAGAATTAACTGAATTATCACAGGAACAAACTTATTCACATGTGATTTTAATTCTGATCTGATTTAGTGAAAAAACCACAATTGCATTTTTTTCAGCATTATTGATTATTGACAGAGTTTTGCGCATATTTGTGATGGAAACGCAGCTACTGAGTTTCTCCACATGCGCTATAGGAACGTTGCCTAGCATTGGAGCTAGGTTAGGGCTAGCGGGGAGGCTAACTATAGCTACATACCTTAGGCTGCTAGCCAAGCTAAGCTAAACAAAAATTAACCTTAAACCAAACTGTTAGAGGAAGATTCGTTACGTTCTGTACAGTTTGCTGCTGATCTCTTTAACGTGAAGGAGACGCAGGTTTCAGTCTGGATGAGGTTTGATGAAAACAAAGTCATTTAACCAGCAAACCAAAGCTTTTCTTCAAGATATTTAGCTCCAGAGCAGGAAGAGTCAAGCTAAATCATTTCCCTTTCTCTCGTCTAATGTGGCTAAAAATTCAGCTTTCGTTAAATTATTGCACAAAATCTCCATTTTCATGACTTGTTTTGTCTCGGAACAGAAGTGAAACCATAACCTTCAGGCTCAGCGTGGCACAGACCAACCATTTCCATTATTACACAAGAGTGGAGTTTAAAAACAGTTTGAGGAGTTTCTATTTACAGGCTCCACTCTAGAATACCGCTGGGTTTCTGTCCAGTTTGTCCTCCATGTTGGTTTGGGTCGCCGCTCTGCTTCATTTTCCCAAACAGAAACACGGAGAGGAAGGATCCGCACCGCTCCGCCTCTAAACCTCCACGGTTTTGTAATAAATGCGTTGATAAATGGTGTCCAGCTGGTTCTGCAGGGCGTGGAAGGACGGCCTTTGGGTCGGGTCGGTGTGCCAGCAGTCCTTCATGATCCGGTAAATGTTGGGAGGGCAGCGGTCGGGACAGCCCAGCCGATGCCCCGACTTCAAAATGTCCATCACCTCCTGATTGCTTTTTCCTAAACAAAGTGAGACGTGAAGAGATCAGAGATCAGGTGGAAATAAATCATCACCGCCATGTGTGGAACATTAAATAACACAAAGTCAAATAAAAGTAAAGTTTTTGGTACAAAAAGCTTCAGAAAAAACATCATCAGACAGATCGAAATATAAAGTTAATTGGAAATTTGGTATTTTAAAGACCAATAAATAAATCAAAGAATTACAAACTGTTGTAATTTTTCTAAATCAATTTCTGTGCATATAAAACGCGTCGAGAGGATTTCACCAGCCGTGTTTCCACTACAAATGTCTTCAAACCTTTGTTGATATTCTACTAATGTTGAAAAACAAGCTTTGTAAATTCATTCCTACATAAGAAACGTGATTAAAATTCACATGTGAATAAGTTTGTTCAGGCGATATGTTTTTAAAACCACTTCCTGTTCATCTTCTTTGTCGTTTCCTCCAGCAGTAACATCCTGTCATTGATCAGGAGCAGAAAAGAAAGGAAAAATTTCATTCTAGCAGCAAAACGAGTTTTTTAATTGCTGTGTTTGATTAAGTGAATTTAGCAATACAAAGACACCAAACTAGTTTTTAAATGAGTAACAACAGAAGAACCAGTTCATCCATTTACACTGAGCTATTTTAACAACTACAGGTGACTTATTATTAACAGGTTGGTTTAATTCCACAGTCAAAACAAATCTTTTTTTGTTGTTGTTGCATAAAATCATTCTTAGTTATTGAGATTTCAGTCTGCTCATTTTAAGGTCTGTCACTTTAAATCAGATAAACTGCTGCTGGCCACGCCCCCAACTCAACCCTTACACTCATGTACAACCACACGATTGAAAAGCAGAAGTGGAGTCTCCTGCACAATCAACAAGAATGAAGCAAATCAACAACAACACTGCAAAACCACAAAACCTCACCAAGGACTTTGGTTTCTCAATTTACTTGAAATTAGACTGAACTAACTTACAGGCAACTTTTCAGCACGAAACAGAAACTTATTTTTAGTTAATAATTTGATAATATTGATCAAAAAATACTAGTTATAAGTTAAATTTATAACTAGTAAGAAACTAAATATCTTGTTTAGATATTAAAGCTAAACAAGTTTGAGATGTTTGAATATCTGAAATAATTTTTTTCACAATTTATCGATCTCTGATTTAAAGATCCTGCTGAACTATATGATGAAACAGCTTGCCATACTTCTCCTCACAGGGTATTATTAAAATTACAACGCTAATCAAGGTGCATCACTTATCACAATAACTCATTTTTATCTGGTCTGTGGTTTTCAGCAGGTTTTAGTTTCCACTGTTCGCTGCACTGATGAAGCTCAGAGGCATCAGAGGTTTTCTAATGCAAATATGGCGGTTTAAAGGTTGATCAGAGCCCATTTGCATGAACCGCTGCAGCATTCTGTGGACTGAATGTGATTTTATCTTTGCTTCCCTCTGGCTAACAGTTAGCTGAACTGCAGCAGAGGAGATGATTTCTGCTCACAAATCCCAGCAAATCTACACATTTCAGGAAGTTTGATAAATGCAAACACAAACCACATCTTTAATTGGAAAAGAAAATTCAGAATCGTGATTCATTTTCTTTTAAGCTTTATAATTATGCATTACTTCGTCTATCACTTAAAATACCAATGAAATCCACAGAGGTTTGTGGATCAAACGACTGCCGTACCTTCGTACGGCATTTCCCGCGTGACATCATCTCATAGAGAAGCACGCCAAACGACCAGACGTCTGATTTGACAGAGAAGCGTTGATGCAGCGCCGCCTCAGGCGCCGTCCACCGGACCGGGATCTTGGTGTTTCTGCTGGCAGTGTAAACGCTGTCCTGCAGCAAACATGAGTGACATCAGAACCATTTATATCACAGACAAACAATTCTTACTTCAACAAGTTCAGATCAAGAGCAAGAACTAACTAACTAACTAACTAACTAACTAACTAACTAACTAACTAACTAACTAACTAACTAACTAACTAACTAACTAACTAACTAACTAACTAACGATTAGTTCAAGTCAGACCTTTGAACGCGCTGTTGCAGTGATCAATGCAACTAAAAACAAGTTTCTAGATCTTGTTGCAAAAACACAAAATCTTACCGAGAGGTTTTGTTCTAGTTTATAGCGCAAATATCCTACGACACTTGAAATAAGACAAAACTAACTTCTCAGCAAGATATAAAAGTCATTTTAAGTCAATAATTCCTTAATATTAATGAAAAAGTATTATTTCTGTCAGATTATTTCACTTCTTACAGGGGAAAATATCTCATTAGTGAAATAATCTGCCAGTGGAACTAGATGAGAAAGTTTAAATTCATACTTTTCATGAGTTTAGAGGTTGTTGTTTTTTTTACTTAAATTTATCTTCAATATTGTTGAAAATCTACTTGTAAGTTAGTTTTGCCTTATTTCCAGTGTACAAAGATATTTACACTAACAACTAAACCAAAAATACTTGGTAAGATTCATAAAACCAGCTGACCAAACATGCTGGAACTCTCTTTGGGTTGCTAGGTAACGGGCAGGGTTCCGCTCGGGTTGCTAGGTAACGGGGTATACCCTGTTGATTTGTGACATCACATTCTGGAGCTTTTAGAAACATCTTCATTCTCCATTCATATCTCTTACATTAATTTATCTCAAAAAAATGATTTATTTTTTTTATGCACTTGTTTTGTTTTCAGAAGCTGCAGAAACCAAAATAAAAACACAAAAATGTCCAAAATGCAAATTTTTCATAGCTTCTCCCCTTTAAGTGTTGTTAAATTTTCAATCAAGGGACATTAAACCTTCAGAAAAAAGCCCTTCAGAACCTGAGCTGCGTGTTTGAGTCCGATAGAACCTGCTTTACCCTAATGATCCGGGCCAGTCCGAAGTCCGCCACCTTGCAGATCAGGTCGTCTCCCACCAGGATGTTTCTGGCGGCCAGGTCTCTGTGGACGATGTGTCTGTCCTCCAGGTAGCCCATGCCGTCTGCGATCTGGCCGCTCATGTAGATGAGATGAGCCGTTTCAGCAGCTTTCCTTCTTCAGCTGCAAACACAGAATCAGACCAAACTGCTGCCAACGCCGGAGCAAATAAATCCCACAGATGGACGGTTTGAAGATCATTTTTCACAATGGTAGCATAACATGTTTGTTTCTTTCCATGTTCTGGTGGAGATTATGGTTTCTAGCATGATTAGCTTGTTAGTCAGTTAGCTAACAAGTTAGCTGTGCTACCCTAAAGCATTAATCATAAATGTTTTCTGAACAAATTGCTGAAAATGAGAATTTGTTGTCAATCAACTGACCTGGTTAAATAAAAGTTAAATTAAAATAAGCATCAATTCCTCTGATGCTAATGCTTGGAAGCTAATGCTAAAGCGCTAAATTATTGAAAACCATGTTTCATGAAGCCTTTTGGTGTTGAATTTATTTTATTTTTTTATTTTTGTCGGTTTTATTTTGTTCCTGCTTGTTTCTTGTTAGCTGCTACATAAACAGTTTTCGCCCACTTCAAAATAAAAGCATGAATACAAACAGCTAACTACTTTGAGAACCAATAACAACAGAGAGTTTAAAAAACATCCAAGTAAATTATGGCTTTAGGATTTATCCAGAAAACTAAAACATTTTCAGTTAGCTGAAGCGCTAACTGAAACATTAGCCCAGCTAAAGGCTGAGAGATAAACAGGCAGCAACATAGAAATATAAATGTTCAGGTTCATGGATGTAACCTGGTGTTAAAGCAGGGGTGTCCAAAGTGAGGCGCAGGGGCCAGTTGTGGCCCTGGGTCTGAATTTGTGCGGTCCCCAACTTCAATTCAAGTCTGATACAAATTAGATCCACATGGAGACTTTAATTTGTAATCAGGGTGAAATTATTACCAACATGATTTTCTAAATTGAAAATGGTGATTGAAAACAAAAGAAACTACTTGCACTATTTTATTTTACTTTAGTTGTTTTGTTGTTTTTTGAGAACATAAAGTTTGTGCGCCCTGGCGTGCAGGTGTACTCACAGCCCAGGTAGGACTTGAGGCTTCCTTTGCTCATGAGTTCGGTGACGATGTAGACGGGTTCTCCTCTGGAGCACATGGCCAGCAGCTGGATCAGCTTCGGGTGGTGGAGGCTCTTCAGCGCCTGCACCTCCTTCACAAACTCGTCCTGCTTCGTGTCCTCTGACGAAAACAACAAAACCCACAACCAGAGCGCCGCCATTTTTACTGATTCATTTCAGTTCATGTTCTCATATGATGCTTTTCATGTTCCATGGTAAAGATGCACGTTGTGCAGAAAAACATCCAAAACATTCAGGAAACACTTCGAGAAACCAGGGCAAAAAAACTTGTTTTAAAAAACAAGATTTGACTTTTGAAACTCAGAAATGTTTGTTTTTTAAAAATTAAGATTTCTGAGATTAATCTAAACATTTCTGAGTTTTCAAGCAAATTTTCAAATTTTCTGACTCTGATTTTTTTTTCACAAAGATTTGGCAAATTCAGATATATTTTAGCAACATTTTTCAAGAACATAAGGAGTTTTTTCTAGCATATTTTCAGCTTTTTCCTCAAAACTCTGATTTCACTCGTTTTACTGGTAACATGGGAGGAAAAGTGAATTTGATGGAACCAATATTAAGAAATTACTGACTTCTATTTCTCACTGAAAAGTTAATTTTTCTTCTTTAAAATCTAAAATATTTCTCTAGAAACTAAACCAATATCCTTGCTGGCCGCCAGAGGGCGCTGAAGGGAATCACCATTGGAGGGACGATGATTTTAAAAAATCCATAAATTTCTTATAAATTTTCATCATCAGAATTGTTGTTTTCTCTTCTTTAATAACTTTTTTGATATCAAGTTAAAATAATTGTTTTAAATGTTATTTCATGATTTTATTATGTTTTTCTCCTCAAGCCAGAGAAAATGCAAAATAAACTCTGCTGCAAAACCCAAAATAACTACAGAAATAAAATTATAAAACATATTTTTTATGCTTTACACCATTAAAACACAATATAGTAACCAATAAACGTTGCATTTTTACAGTAATCACTTCTGCATTTCTAACTAATGATTCATTGAATTACAGTTTGTCTGACATTTGCCACAGATCAACTTTTAACATTAAATCCTGCAGCAGCTTCATTAAGATGTAAAATATTAACGTCTCATGAAAGTAATTCTGAATGCAGAGATTTTATTCTGGTCAAACAATAGAGAATAATTTCAACTAGTCGAAATCTTCCTGTACCTTGTTTCAGCATCTTTATGGCCACTTTCCGCTTCTCTTTGGTCCAAATGGCTTCCCATACTTGTCCAAAGTTTCCTTCTCCCAGTTTGCACAGGAGTTTGAACTCTTCCCTCGGTCTCTCCCAAGGCTCCATGTCGAACAGTTCCCGCTGCGCAAACACACAAGCAGACGTTTCAAAGCTTCATCCAGTTTGTTTCAGGAGCTGAAGGTCTGCGAGTCGCCAGAGCGCCGAGCGACTCGGAGCCAGCAGCAGCATCAGCACATTTCTGACAAAAATATTACATTTCCTACAAAACACGGGGAAATTTATCAGTTTGAAACGTCAAAATCTCCTAAAAAAACAGAATTTTTCTGATTAATCTCAAAAACTTTAAAAAAAGAAAAACTTTGAAACTCCAAAACTCAAAAGTGGAAAATTTCCAAAAAATGTTTGAAATTCAGAATATTTCTTGTTTTTCTAGGAACATTTTAGGATTAATTTAAAATTTTGAGTTTCTTCTTGGAAATTTTCTAATAATTTGCTAATTTTAGTTCCTCCAGATTTCTGTCTCAGCTCTGTGTCTCTTTTATGAACTTTATTTTGAAGGTTCCATGCGGAAAACTATACTTCCTTTTTAGTTGTTTTTCGGTGAATCTGCAGAATTTTTTCTGTTTGATGCAGAAACAAAATAACAATCTGTGTGTTTTACTCTTCTCCAATAAAAGTCTGTTTTCTTCTAGAAATGCAAATATTCTGATCAGTTTGTAAATAACTCGCGTTCCTTTTTACCAGAATTTGTTTTTTAAAATAACTGGACAGTATTTATGTTGAAGTTTTGCAGTTACTGTCCAGTTTTTATTCCATATTCAGTTTTTAAATATTTTATGTTCTTTGTGTGAATTTCCTTCTCATTGTGCAAAAATAAAGAAATTTATTTCTGTAAATAACGATGCTGGAAAATGACGTATGGAGCTCCAAAAAGGACAAACATTTTTTTCTTCTTCTTCTTCTTATGACAAACTGAACCTCGTGTTTTCATAAGACCTGAATATTGGATCCAAACCTCGACTGGATTATTTGTGTCTCACCAAATTATTTGCAGAAAAATCTAATATTTGCAGATTTTATTTTTTGGTAAAGCAAATCTAAGATGTTCACAGGAAAATGCAGATTTTGCTTCACAGTTTTGTTTTTTACTGTTGCTGACAAGAATTTTCTGATAATCCATCAACATGTTAAGATATTAATGGGAAGAATGAATAAAAATAAAACATTAATCAGGCTTTAATGAGAAACAAAAATTTATTGTTAAAAATCTGATGCTACAAAATGAAATGATTCAACAAATGATTATAAATTATAAATAAAACAAAGGATATTGATTTGATTCATATGATGAAAAATTAAAGTTAAAAACAAATCAAGAAAAAACATACATTTAAATTTAAATTAAGGACAATTATTTTCATCCTCGTACATTTCAGTCACAATTCGATGAATGTTTCGATAAATGAACAAAAATCTCAACAGAAATGAAACAAGAATCAACGTGTTAAAGTTCAGTTAAACCGCAAAACTTTAACCCTGATTTTATGATTCAAGTCAAATAATCAACTTAGATTATTGAAGTGCAACAGAACATTAATTAGGAGGGTAAATAAACACAAAGTGGAGGGAAAAATATCAGGAAATATTCCTCTGGAAATGATGCTACATAACTGAAGAAACAAGTTTGTCACAATAAAATCAGTAAAATGAGATCAGTTTATCTAAAACTGGGTCATGAATATTAACTTATTAAATTAAATTCCGCTGTGGTCGCTAGGTAACGGGCAGAGTTCCCCTGTGGTTGCTAGGTAACGGGCAGAGTTCCCCTGTGGTTGCTAGGTAACGGGCAGAGTTCCCCTGTGGTTGCTAGGTAACGGGCAGAGTTCCGCTGTGGTTGCTAGGTAACGGGCAGAGTTCCGCTGTGGTCGCTAGGTAACGGGCAGAGTTCGCTGTGGTTGCTAGGTAACGGGCAGAGTTCGATGTGGTTGCTAGGTAACGGGCAGAGTTCGATGTGGTTGCTAGGTAACGGGCAGAGTTCGATGTGGTTGCTAGGTAACGGGCAGAGTTCGCTACATTTTCCAGACAGTAAAAAACATTTAGAAGCTTTTATCTAAAAGCGTCTGAATGTTTTTTTTCAGTCGGTTTTTAGAGGCAAGAGAAACTAAAATGAAAGTTTAAAAACACGCTAAATGTGATTCTCCTCTAGAGGGAGCAATCTGAAAATAAAACAATGTACTGGTTCGTATCAAACTAGTTATTTTTCTCTGGTTGTTTGGTGACAGACGGTGAGGAATGACTTTAAATGATGAAATATTTCCGATGTGTTTTTTTCAACAACAGGAACTGCATGGGAAAAGCAGACAAACCGGCTCGGCACTCGCAGCCGACATGCAGCAAAGCGTGAAGGACAACCGGAGAAGCTCTGCCTCTCCTCACACCTACTAAACGTGTTTTCCTCTGTCTGCGCCTCCGCGTTCGCATTTAAAGACATTTTGCTTCGTGTCGCCGCCTCAGACTCACAGCTTCCGCTGGAAGGGAAGAGAGAAGAGGAGGAATCACCGGCTGACCTTCACTGCACATTTTCATTCATCCTCGGTGTTTTAAGTCAAATGATTGTGAGCGAGTTTTCTGTTTTTCAGCAGAAATCTGAGCAGTTGGCTCCCAAACTGATGAGACGTGGAAACGGAAAGCTGCTTGGTGGGAGTTAAAAATAGCTGCGTAATCACAGAGCCGACACTTAAACCGGCTCTTTTTTAAATCTACTGGTCCCAACGCAGCTAAGAAAGCCAGAAAGCAAAGAAAAACTAAATACACGGCGGGATGCAGAGGAGTTCAGGGTTCAGTCAACGTGAAAAGAGACAGTCCCACAGCATGACTCCTCCAGCACCATGCCTGGAGTTCATACCAGGGTTCTTTTCTTCTTCATGGACCAAACAAACATACATGACCGAAAAGATTAATCACAGGATTTTTTAAATTAACATTTATTTTTTAGTGATTCCCAGATCAGAATCACACATAAAACACAAACAGAAACAAAAATGTCCAATGCAGAAAAGACCCCTGTGATTAACCGATTAATTAAATAATCGTCAACTCCTTTACAATCAACTTTAATCAGACTATATTAACTCTAAAATATGACATCTTCTGAATAAACACCTCTCATAGCAGTTACTGAGCAAAAAATGCACAAAAACATATATAAAGGACTATTTTTGTCAACCGTACAAGATCCTTCCTGCCAGCTTCCTGTTAGCTGACAATGACTAGCATCGGTTCTGTTGTCAACATAAACATCAAATGTACACCTGACATATTTTAAAAGGGGCCGCAGTGCTTTGCTACTAATAATTTCTGTTTAAATTGGCTTCAAATTTTCAAAAACATGACCGGGAAGAGGTCAGTCGGTCAGTTATGCTAGCTTGACTATGAGAACCTTAACATGAAGATGTGCTGCAGAATTTGATGTTTTGGTTCAGTTAAAATCAAAAAGGGAATCTAACCACCAACTCTGAGATCATCAGTAGAGCAGGTGTTTAGATGAGCTAATCAATCACAGCTGTGTTAGCTTAGCTAGTAGCGGAAGCTAATCTACCACATTAATCACTTATTAATAATCACAAAATAAACATGAAGCCTGAAAACATAAAACTGTAACGGACTGAATGATCTGTTTATGTGGGAAACGTTGAGGTGTTTTTGGTGTTGACACTGGTGGAGCTGTTGTCAGTCAGTTGCTATGGTGACGAGTCTACATGTAGCGTAGCCGACACCGAGAATTAAATGTTTCTGAGTTGTTCTTCAACGGGTTTTTCTGTTGTTTTTCCCTTCGCTGTGGCGCTGCGGTAATAAAAGCTCCAGGTTTTGTTTAGTTAAAGGGATCGTCCCTCTGCAGCAGCGCCGCTAAAACAATCATCCCTTCACCCTCCAGCTTGGTGTGCATGTCGATGTAAGTAATAGCATGCTATGTGTCTGTAAGAGTTGTGGATAAAAAGAGAACGTCTCATCAGTTATTGATCATATGTGCAGGAAATGATGAACAGTAAAGATTTTTCCGCCATCGTTTTGGCGCCCGCTCTAGCGCGGCACCCGTATGCGTCATATGTGTGACGTCCATCTTAAATGTTTTCATTTGCCAATAATCTGAACGATTAGCTTGGAAATGAAACAAACTAAACTGATTAAGGAACTTTTTAAATGATAAACTGTAAAACAGAAACATGTAAATTTCTGTTTCTTTGTTTTTTAAGCAGCACAGACGCTGTGAATGCAGCAGATTTTTGACATTTTTACCCCAGACTAAAAATACAGGATTAAAAATGATTTTAGGTTTGAGTTCAGTCTCCGGTCACAAAACAAATCAGAAACGGAAATTATTGGTAAAGTTTTCAAACGACCAGATTTATTATTCAAATAAATAACTCGGGATTTATTGATCTGAGTCTAAAGCAGAAAATGTATTTATCTCTACGTTCTGTAAATTATTTCTGTCCTAAATTGTTGCATCTAATTCCTAAAAAATGATTAAAAAATTGGAACAAAATACATAAAATAAATCAAGAAAAGTAAACTGAAACAGGACCAATAAAAAAATGAAAATCAAAAATAAAATAATTGTAGTAAAATGCAATAAGAGTAAAAGGTTAACATGTTAATAAAAATAAAAGTTTTATATATAATTAAATAAATTTGATTTATAAAGTTTGTTCTATAAAACAAAATATGAAAAAGGTAAGAAACTGAAAAGTAAAAATGAAATTCAGGCTAGCACAATAACTAAATAAATAAATCCTACAAAGTCAGTGTGACAGAACAAAAATACATTTTTTCAAATAAAATTACTTTTATTTACAAATCTGTTATCAAACAAAATAAGCCTCGTTAAATGAATTGTATTTAAAGATAACTAATTATATTTTCATGTATAATAAAATAAAAATAGTCATGAGATAAAAATAAAATAAATCAAACTAAACAAAATAAACCCAATAAAATAAATGAAATAAAAAAACAAGGGTTATCTCGGGTACTGAACGGTAAGCAGTATCCTACCTGCTGGGCGCACGGCTCCGCCAGGTTGACCCCGAGGCTCTGCGGGTTCTTCTGGTAGTAGGAGATCAACTCGCCCAGCGTGGCGAACGACAGCGTATCTGTCACGAAGAACGCCCCGATCACCGAGCGCTGCACCCGGAAGTGCAAAACCTTCCCCTCGCTCCGCGCTGCAAGACAGCAGCAGGGTCAAAGGTCACGGTTAGGAAGCTCACATGAACAAAGGTCAGTAAACCAAACAAACGTCTTCAGTCGAGATCGACGCTTAAAGAACGGAGCAATAAAACAGGAGTCAATTTCTGTCAAAATAAAAATTTTAGATCAATTAAAAAAAGAACAAGGATATTTCTGAGTTTGAAAACTTTTACATTTGCTATAAAAACTCAAATTCTGACAATCTAAGAAATTTTCTAAAAATGTCTGAAAGATTTGAAATTATCAAGAAAAAATTGTGAAGTTTTGAGATTAATCTCAGGAATTTTCAAATTCAAAATACTTTAATTTTTTTATCACTTTATTCAGCAATAAAGTGATAAATATTTTATTTTTAATACTTTATTAATGCTAACAAACTGGCTACAAAACTGAAATAAAGAAAATGCAAATAAATTGAATATATTTAATAAAATTGTGTAAATTTAGTAAAATAAAACAAATATGAAAAATATTAAATGAAATCCAAATAATTTAATATGAAACATGAAAAAATGAATCTAAAACCTAAAAGCTTTTATTGTGGTCAATGTGACCCAGCAACAAAAAGTATCAATAATTTCTAACCTGCGATTTGAAATTGAAGGAATTATGAAGATAAAATATAAATCTGCTGAGTCATCACCCGAAGGAAAAAGTGCTGAGTCAGCCACTCACCAGACACCGTGTACTCATCGCTGTGACTCTCACTGATGCGAACCAGGAAGGCGCCATCTTTGTTTTGGGAAGCGAGCAGCAGCTTCTCTGCTTTCACGCGGTTTATGTTCCCGTAGTACCACCTGACAGGAAATTGAGAGACAGGAAGTGGAGAAACAGGAAGTGGAGGGACAGGAAGTGGATAAACAGGAAATGGAGGGACAGGAAGTGGAGAAACAGGAAATGGAGGGACAGGAAGTGGAGAAACAGGAAATGGAGGGACAGGAAGTGGAGAAACCGGAAATGGAGGGACAGGAAGTGGAGAAACAGGAAGTTGAGAAACATGAAGTGGAAGGACAGGAAATTGAGAGACAGGAAGTGGAGGGACAGGCGGTCAACAGAAATGTTTCCTTACAGGAACTAAAAACATGATGAGACTGTTTAATGTCATGGTAATAAAACAAAGTTAGTTTGATCCAAAGAAAAAGACGAACATCAGACCTGAGCAGAATTAGAGTATATTAATTACCACAAGAAAACCTTTGGTAGGATGTTTAGTACACTGTACATTTCAGTTTTACTTAAGTGATTTTATTTGTTGAGTAATTTCACTGAATGAAAATCAAACATGTTTTTACCAAAATGTCAAAAACAGAAACACCTGCAGTTTTTATTAGTGTCATACTGAAAGAAATTCATTTTTTATTATTATTTTGTTCATAGGAATAATTTTCCCTTTTGGTCCAAAAAATTTAAAATATATTTGTATTTTGGTGCGATTAATGTTGTAATTTTTAAATATTATATGACTGATTTTTTAAAAATAAGTTACTCTGAATTTTAAATTTCTGTGTAATTTTGATGTTTAAATAATATTTTTATTGTTGTGTGAAGTATTTTGTAACATTTGCTTTAAAAAGTGCAATTAAAGGAAGTTTTATAATAATAATAATAATTATTATTATTATTACTTGAATATCTTTTTTATCAAACACCTTTTTTACTCCTAACTGATTGATTTCTTTTGAGTAAAAATGATTTATAATCCTCTTATTTCAGCAGCTGTTGGTCCTTTTATCATCCAGTTTTTGGTAAGAAGAGAAAAAACATAAACCATGAAAATGGAAGTTAGTTTGATTTACAGGGCGCTTATTGATTATTGATTGATTATTAATTGACAAGTTTAGTGGACAGAGTAAACTGAAGACTGAGCTGCAAATAGAAACTTTTTCATGAAACTGTTTTCTGGACTTCCTCCTCCAGAGTGAGTCAGTAACAAAACGCAGCAGCGGTCCGGTCGGGTCCGGTCCGGGTCCGGTCGGGTCCAGTCGGTCGGGTCCGGTCTGTTTGCTCAGATCTCAGAATCTGTGTTTACCTGCAGTTATCCGGGCTCCGCTCTCTGTGCCGCTCGGGTTTCACAGAAACTAACAACACGAAGCGCAGATCTCAGGTAAGATGCTGGGAAACTTCAAACAGGAAACGTTTTCGATGACGCAGCTGATTCCGACTGCGCCGCGCACTTCATCGACCGAAAATGAGCTGAGAGTAGATATTTAAAGCACCAAGTCAGAGAGAAGAACAGGCGCGTTCACAGCAGCCATGTTTAATCCGCTTTAACCGACTCCAGTCCGTTTGCCTGGAAAGTCCAGTTGGGTTGGGTTGGTGTGAACGCTAAGCTAACTCTGAACGCTAAGCTAACTCTGAACGCCAAGCTAACTCTGAACGCCAAGCTAACTCTGAACGCTAAGCTAACTGGTCCACCTCCAAACCTCGGTCTGGTTCGGTTGAAGTGAACTCTGGTTCAGTTTGAATTCATATGTGAACCCCAAGCGAACAGCAAACTGCTCCAAAAACAGGAAGTGGACTACAGTGCAAGGCATTCTGGGTAAATACAACCAAAACAACACCAACGCAGTTCAGAGCCCAATCTGGTTTCCACAGAGGGGGTTCTTGTTATATGCAATCAGAGCTGTGACCCGAAAGTGACCCGGATACACGGACGAAGAACGCTGAACGCAGCAACAATGGCCGCCGCCGCCATTTATGGGTCAATTTTAAAGCGTCACAGACAGAAAAAAAACCTCAGGCAGGTTGTGCACACAAAAGCTTTCAATAATAAATAAATATATAAATGCAGTGTCGATGTTTTCAACTGGAGTAGCTGGGTCTGTTCTGATTGTTAGAAAGCTCTAAAGGATTATAGATAAAGAAGTAACAACTCTGACATCTTTGGTGCAAATCTGCTTTTAACTCATTTATTAATTAGTTACTGTTCAAAATGTATATATTAAATATTGCCATAAACAGCAAGTCTTTAAAAAGAAAGACCAAACTCCTGTTCTTTTCTTCAGAAAATTGGATGTTTTTTTGCTTTAAACCCCTTTTTAGGTTTTGGATGGACAATGATTTGGTCAATCGTTTCCAAAAAATAAGTAAAATGAAATAAAAGAAAATAAAAAAATAAAACTGGCAGTTTTATTGTTTTAATTTATTGTCGTGCGGGTTCAACAAAACTGTTTATTTGGTATTTTTAGTTGTTTTTTAAATTTATTTGTGGTCCAGTGTCTGACACAAACATCATGTTTCATGTTTTCCACAGTAGGAATGGTTGTGTTTGCTAACTGGTGTGCGTGCGTGTGTGTGTGGGTGTGTGTGTGCGCGCGTACGTGTGTGTGGGTGTGTGAGCGCGTGCGTGTGGGTGTGTGTGCGTGTGTGTGTGTGTGTGGGTGTGTGTGTGTGTGTGTGTGTGTGTTAGGTGTGTGTGTTAGGTGTGAACATAAGTCGTCTAACACAGGGCGTTCTGCTGAAACATGATGACTCCATGCAGGCTGGATAAATAATGGAGGACTTGCAGCTGCAGGGCGTTTCACACACGTTTTCTCTCAGTTGCAGAAGAAGAAACGAGTCCCGCTGCAGCGAAAGATGCTGCTGGTCACTGTGACCTCTGACCCGAAGGCTTCAGATGTGGTGTGATAATAACATAACGGTATAAACAACTACCAAACATGAAAACATTTCATGTTTCATATAATCATATCAGGCAAAACTGACTTAACGTTTGGTGACTTTTTGCCTTATTTTTCCGCTTACCTTAATTTCTCACAAAGGATTAGTTATTATAAAACTTCCCTAACGTCTCACTTTATATATAATGCTCAATTCAACTAAAAACAAAAAATCTCTGAGAAGAAAACATTTTAAAAATAACTAATAATGCAATAGCCTGCTGGCAAAAAAGTACATTTTCATCCTTAAATGAACGTCTTGCTTGAGATCCATGCATCTCTCCAGCTGCACAGACAAATGTTGCTTTTTTCCCCCAATGGAACAGAAACTACTGACTATCAGGAGGGAACCGACATTTTGCTATGAATCTAGAAGGGAGTTTAGACGCTCGCTGAGCAGCAAGATTAATAACCAGGGAACTAAAAACTAGCCACGATTTGATTGCGTGGAAAATTCTCCAAAATTCTCCACATCGACGTGTTTTTATGCGTAAAATTGAAGATTTTAGACTAAAAATAATAAAATTCCTCAGGGAAAATGTTTTTTTCCACTCAGTCGGGTTTATTGGTGCATTTAAATGTAGATTTTTATATTTGGGGAAAAAAGGAGTAAACTTCTGCCAAAAACTCAGGAATTATTCATCTCAACATGTTTAGAGAAAAACTGAGTTGTAAAGTTTTTAGATCTTCCAGCTTCCATCTAGAAATGTTTTTTTTCCTAGCAAATTTGCAAGTTTTAAAACTGAAATTTTCATGTTTTTTCTCAAGAATTTCAGAGTTTATAGAACAAAAAAAGAGTAAAAAGCAAATTTAGGATTAATTTTGGAAATTCTTAAGAAAAAACTGGGAAACCTCAGCAGAACATTTTCTGAGTTTTTTTTTGTTGTTGTTTTGTTTTGTTGCAAATTCACAACTTTTAAACTGTGAGATTAATAAAATGTATTGAGAAAAAATTAGGAAATTTCAGAGTATATAATCTAAAGTTTTTTATATTAATCCCAGAAATATAACAACAACAACAACACACTTTCAGAGTTTGAAAAGTCACAAATATTCCAGAAAAAACTCAGAAATATCCCAATTTTTTCTCATTTTCAGAAAAATCTAAAATGTCTCATTTCTTATGTCAAATCTAAGACTTTTTCAAACTCTAAATTTCATTGTTTATTTTACCAAAAATAAATTAATCTAATTTTTTTCTAGCAAATGTTCTCAACTAACAAAGTTCAAACGTTTTTTTAAAAAATTCAGAAAATATTAAGATTTATTTTTAGATGTTTTTACGGAAAACAGGTTCTGAACAGGTCCAGATCAGTTTCTGATCAGGTCCAGATCAGTTTCTGATCAGGTCCAGATCAGTTTCTGATCGGGTCCAGATCAGTTTCTGATCAGGTCCAGATCAGTTTCTGATCGGGTCCAGATCAGGTCCAGATCAGTTTCTGATCGGGTCCAGATCAGTTTCTGATCGGGTCCAGATCAGGTCCAGATCAGGTGCTGAACAGGTTCTAATCAGGACCTGATCAGGTTCTGAACAGGTCCAGATCAGTTTTCTGATCAGGTCCAGATCAGTTTCTGATCAGGTCCAGATCAGTTTCTGATCGGGTCCAGATCAGGTCCAGATCAGGTGCTGAACAGGTTCTAATCAGGTCCTGATCAGGTGCTGAACAGGTCCAGATCAGTTTCTGATCAGGTCCAGATCAGTTTCTGATCAGGTCCAGATCAGTTTCTGATCTGGTCCAGACCAGGTCCAATCAGGTTCGGTCGGACTCACTTATGCTTGGCGAACTCGTCCTGCAGCAGAGCCACGTAGTTGGCCGGGATGAGCCCGGCCTGCGGCTCCCCGGTCAGCTTCTTGGCCAGCACATAGTCGCCCCGCTTCTCGATCACCGACAGCTTGTCGCCCTCCTTCACCGTCAGCTCGTCGTCGCTCCGGGCCTGGAAGTCGTACAGCGCCGCGTAAAGCTGCACCGGCCGCTTCTTGGGCGACGGGGGGCGGATGTTCCCCGACACGGTGCGGATCTCCGCCGACCGGGCCCCCGGGTTGGCGATGACCAGGTTCGGGACGGGAGGGTAGCGGGGAGCCGGCCAGATCCAGTTCCAGAGCCGGGAGAAGCAGGGGCAGCAGGCGCGGCAGCAGTTCTCCATCCCGGGTCATGAAGGAGCTCCGAACCGGGCCTGGGATACACAGTCAGCAGCCTCTCCGTCCGCCGGGAACATAACAATGAATCCGCAGCGCGGGGCGGCCCGCCGAGCCGGACCAACCGGTTTCCTTTTCTGTTGAGATCATGGATCTTCGCTCCGCGCCTGCAGTGCGCACGGCGGCAGCGGGAATGCGGAAACCGGACTGTCCTCCATCCGAAGCGGCTCGGGTCTCTGCGGGGGCTCGGAGCCGGTACCGCATGGCTCCGGAGGTTAATCCATTCAGCGCGGCTGAGGAGGCGCAGAGGTGACGCTGAAGGTGAGGCGGGACGGTGCGTAAAGAGGTTCGGGTTTGGCGCTCCGCACAACATCCGAGGAGGAGGAGGAGGGAGGAAGGTGCAGCAAACAGGGCGGGAGGGGCAGAAAGTTTTCATCACTTAAACAAACACAGGAGTCTTTACTTAATGACGTCATCACGGATTCATGTGTCCATTTAACACCAGATTTATTCAGTGGTTTAACTTGGATGCAAAACAAGAAGCAGCTGAATCATCTGAAGCTTTTAGACGATCCAACACCTTTTAGTGAGAAATTAATTTAACTACAGAAAAATATCTTAGCAGTGACAAATTAAATTCATATATCAGTGGGAATAAACTGATTTATTTAATCAGGGTCCATATTGTTTCCAAAGAAATGACTTCATTTTCAATATTTTAATATTGTGTAATAAATAAGACGGTTTAATATAAAGTAAAACATTTGCTAGACATATTAAAAAAGAAAATGAAAATATTTCAGGATTGATTTCCAGATTTCTAAAACATTACAGTTTTAATTTATTGGCAGTTTCATGTAGGGACAAAATCTCACAAGCAGAATGTCATTGGTTGCATTGCTGCAGGAGGGTGTATGGAAATCCATCCAGTTCAAAAATACATTTTAATTAAAATTAATATACCCTTGTTACCTAGCTAGCTTTTTTTGTGCAGATTGTAAGTGACTGACTTGGGACAAAATGTCAAATGCATGAATATCAACAGTCGCTTGGCTTAAGGAGTGTATGGAAGGCGATCCAGTTCAAAAATATGTCTCTTCTCACAAATAGACAACACATTAACATTTTCTGTACATTTTAATCAAAATGAATTAACACATCCTTGCTCGCTAGCTTTTTTGTGTCTATCATAGGTAGTGGACTTGCCACATGGAAAACAACAGGCAAAAGTTATCACCTCATGGCAACAAAAGGGGCAAACCTTTTTCAATTTTCTTATGTTGCATCACAAGCCCAAAACAAAGATTGTTTGCTAGTTCTTTTTCTGTTTGTCATGAGTGATGGGTTCAACACACAAGGATCGTAGATAACACGTCAATAACATGTTATCTAAACGTTGTCAAGGTTGTTTATAAGATGATTTGACATTAACAATACATTAACACATAGAAAACATGTCAATATGTTGTCAATGTATTTTCTACCCATTAGAAGACAGATTTTTGAACTAGAGGGCTTTCCATACAGGGATGCGATTGTCGGCTCTTTGTGAGTTCCATAGAATGAATGGAGAGCCTTTTAAACACAAATTTATCACCAGGTGGCCACGTTCATTTTCACCACTTCTGTTGCCAACCTATACAAAGATGTGTGAAAAATGTACTGAATAAGTCTAAATATTGGCACTATTGGTAAGAAATGTTATGAAAGGAACGAAGAAGGCGGACCTGTTTCCATAATTAGCACTGTTTTATTAGTATATTTAGCTTTGTGACGTACAGCTCAGGAGGAAACAGAAAACAAATCAACAAACTTAAATAGTTACAAATCTTTCAAGTCCAGAAACATTTCAGCTTCAGGAGTGACATCACACAAAGTAAAGTTTCTTTTTTTAAACCTGATCTTTCCCCATCATGGACCAGAGTGATATGTTCTCATTTCTGGGTAAAACGAACCTCTCCCAGGCAGCTAACAGAAAAAAACACCCCAGGTTTTTTGTCTTTTTTCCCCTTCTTGTATGTTAAGACCAAAATTCAAGCGCATGGACTGGAAAAAAAAAGATTTCCACTGGTAAATATAATAAACAAAATATAAAAAACTTTTGATATAATTTATATGGTATCAAAGAAGAGGCAGGGAAATGGGCCTTCAGAGGGGTTTGTTTTTACAAAAACATGTTTTCCTGAGGTTGAGTTTTTCTTTAAGTTCTGCTAAATACACTAATAGACTAAAAGACCCGACACTCGCGATCTGTAATGGCTTATCATTCGCTGAGGAACTCGTCCTCTCCTCTGGACTCGGTTACGCCAGCGGAGGGTCACTGTGATTCTGTGCCCACAATCGGAGACAAACCAACCCACGTTTCAACCCCAGCCAGAACCGCGACGCCGCGCCGACATCAGCTTCCACCGCTTAAAACGCTAACGGCGGCGATTCAAAAACAGACGCCTTTCCTTTCGCTGTAAAGGACGGACAGAGATGAACGGAGGAGGAGGGAAGCAAACAAAACACACACAAAAGATCAAGCCAGGGAGATCTGCAAAAATCTGTACATGTAAACATCACACTTCCACTGAGTCAAATGAGGGGAATGCAAGTTTCACATTGGTTTTACTGGAGGTACGAAGGCCTGGCAGAAGAAAGCAAGTCAATAGAAATGAGTTGGCTGTTTGCCGGTACAAAGTCAGGAGGAGAAAGAAAAACGTACAGCCTCCAGGATTCTTTAAAGTTTTGCCTGTTGACCATCTGACAGAACTGAACCGGCATCACGTTCTTTATCCCGGTCCAAAAGGACGTGTTTGGTTCATCTCTAACACTGAATCCCACTTTAGATTCATTATTTCTAATAATCAGAACCAAAAGTTTCATCATTAATTGGAAAGTATTTCTTAATTGATCAGTTTTGCAAATGCTGATTGTTGGGTTTCCCTGGATAATAGAAGCTGTGCATTTAGAGTCACATAAGTTGCTAGCAAGCAAATTTTTACTACTGTATGTTTTCTCAGACTTTCTTTACACTGGTTGACGATCATACTTGGACAAAATACCTTCAAGAAGTGTTTGCCAGATCTTAGCAGGGTGTTGATGAAGTCTTCCTCCGGGTTTTAGCATCTTGTTCAGGACTTTAGGGTCTGAGCGGGGTGTTTGTAAGGTCTTCTTGGTCTTAGCAACGTCTTTAAAGTCTTACAGAGATGCGTTGCACATGTTTGAGGTCTTAAGGTTCTTCGTAAGGTCTTGGCAATGTCTTTGGGGTTTAAGAAAGGTCTTTAAGGTTTTGGTAAAGTCCTATTGAGATCTTCAGCCTCTTCTTGAGGATTTTAGGGTCTTAGCAATGTTCTGGCGCAATCGTTTGGTGAATATTAAGGACTAACTGGGTAGGACACAGACAATAGAAAAGGTCTTGGTTGCCTGATTTCCCAAATTCTGCTTCATTCATTTTGAACAGGCTAAGAAGTTCATGCAGAGCAAAGTCACGCAGTTTGGCTGGAGTTATTTTGAGCTCTGATAAAAGACATGATGCCGGTCCGGTCCGTGTTTGGAATGTACTGTGTTGGATCTGAGAGTTGGGGGATAAAATACCTTGTACCACCCTACAAAATATACTTAAAGAATAGAAACCTTTATAACAAAAGTTGTATTAAAAAGTAAAAATCCAATAGAAATGTGTTGGCTGTTTGCCACCGGAGTCAGAAACACCTGGAGGAAATGCTTTGATTATGGCTCCACCTTTCTATCGATTGTCCTTTGCTATTAGTTATGTTGTATTTAACACAGTTTGTTGGTGTTTTAATTATTATTTATATGATCATTTCTGATTGCAGAGGTGGGAGTGCAGTACTCTGGATGTCCAGGTTTGCGGTAAACCTACTTGAATGGCTTACACACGATTATAAGCTGCTAACAGGCGGCTGCTTGGTTCTCGACCTGCATTGCTCTCCTGGTGAGAGTTTCTGAAGGGTTCTAAGCTCCTGCAAACTTCTGGTGGTTTATGGCCATGGCAGCAGAATATCAGGACCTTTGATTGAGGATGGGGACATGCAGTTGTAGGAGAACTTTATCCTAACCATCATTTGGACTCAGACTTTACCAAGACACTACAAACATCTGTCTAAGGAATTTAGTCCAATGGACTAAAACAAAACAAATATCTTTCCACCTAAAGCAAAGACAAATCCCCAACCATGTGTCAATAAATACCAGGCCAGTTCAGCTGAACTTTATTCACCTTTCAAACACAAAAAACAAGTTTGTTATGGAAACAACCTGAAACGGTTTGAAAACCCATGATGGCAGTAGCATCATGTGGGCAGATCTTCTACCATGGAGACCTCCATCTAATGTCCAACATTTCTTCAGTATTGAATTCCAGTACAAAGAAGTAGCAAAAATATTTATCCAACTACTCTATTCTAAGTGTGAACATCAAGTTACGCAAAAATCCTTCAAAAATGCTCATTTTACTCAAACGCACTGAAATGTAGCTGTTCACATCTTCTGCAAACCTAATGAAAAACATTTGCAGTGCAACATGAATGAACTAAAGGTATGCTTCTTTCTTGCTCTCTATTCTTCCTACCTGATCTTACTTTGCATATTTTTCGTGAAAGGTCCACATCCCGGACGAGCCCCCAACTGTTTTCCATTCAGAAATAAGAGCACTAAAACAGATTCCTCCTCTCTTGTGAAAATAATCCTTTGAAATTCTACATAAAGGAGGTCTAAATTAAGTTTCTGCTGTCGCTGCTTGCAGCCTGTCACATGAATGGAAAAAATGGCAAACATATTCTGATTATCAAATGCATTTCAAAAACAACATGCATGTCCTCACGCAATCATAGGCCTTCCCTTGAACACCACAGATCACTAATTTTTGGCTCTCTGTGTAAAAATTGAGTGAAAAGTTCAGCTGCAGCTGAAAGCATCTCTTGCTGAATTGAACAATCTCCAACAACGTCTAAACCAAAAAATGAATTCAAGTTTGCATATGAAAAACTTAAGTGGCTTGGTGCTAATGTTGCAAATTACTCCAAAAGAATCCTTTTTAGATGACATGACCTAGTATTTTTGGGCAGAACAAGCTGAAACAGCAACTCTTTTATGGCTTAATCAAACATGAGTAAATCAATTAGCCTTAGATGTTTTGA